TGTAGCTTCATAACCGATAGCACTTTATAGTTAAATTAACAAAGTTCAATAAAAATATTGATAATTGAAGATATTCAGTTTTTTATCTCGATTAAACAAAAATGAAAAGATACCCTTTTGAAACTTAACTCCTTAATTGTGTTAATTAATTTGAAATAATTTAAATGACACAATAAAAGGTTATTATTATTTTCATGATATATTTATTTTTTATTTATATAAATGACCAAATTCACGTCGCTAAATTATTTATTTTTTTTTTTTTATTATATTGACAGTACTTTTATCTCGGATAAAATTTTATCCCGGATTGAAAAACTGGCCCTAAATAAAAAAAATATTCATCACTAAATTAAATTAATAATAATTAATCAAAATAATACAATAAATCGTCGCTTAATTCAGTTAATTTCAACTAATTATAAAAAAAAAAAATTAGCCGTCGCTCAATTCAGTTAGTAACAATTGTTATGTAAAGAAATTTTTCTTTACATATTTATTAATTATAAAAAATCGAGTATAATTTTATTTAAATTTTAACGATTGTAAAAGATAATTCGAGTGTGGTCATTAAGTGTCTCGTTCGATCTTTGAAAAAGGCCCAGGAAAATTCCCGTAATTAGTCTGAGGGCCCAGGTATATTTAAGAGATTAAATTGATGAATGGGAGTTTTGTTATACGTAAGCAAACTCACTTATACTCAAAATAAGAAATACTTAAATATAAAGAACAATAGATAAAAAGATTTATTTTAAACCAAAAGATTTTAGAATAATTTAATGACAAAAATTTAGTGTTGAGAAAAATATCGAAATAAATTTTAATATTGCAATTTCCGAAATAATTTTTAGACAACAAAAATTAAATATGAAATGAGAAACAAATAAAAAAAATAGAACTTGAAAGTTAAATAATTTAAAATAAACAAATTTTAAACAATTGAATTCTAAAATAATACAACAAATTTATAAAACGATGAAACAGAAATATTTCTACAAATAAATAATTAAATTCAAGGAAACGTAAGAAATGTTAAATTCGAGTACATATTTATTCATATGATTTTAATAAATAAATTAATGTAGACAGTACAAATGTATGTCTTTGTCTATGCGTAAATGCGCTTACGTATACACATACACATAGATGAATAATAGAACATAAGAGTAAGTGAGAAAGTATGTTGCACTCAGACCCAAGTAGAGGGACTCATGCAACATTTTTAGACAAATTTAAGAGAGAGGGTAAGGGCCCGAGAAAATAGACAAATAATTGGACATTTGTTTCCCCCAATGAGTAGAAATTAGTAACGCCCTAAAAGTCGACACCTTGCAATCGTCACCAAAAAATCTCTCTCGTTGTCCTGACGTCCTAGTGTTAACATCGTACATATTTTAAATAAGTCTCAATAGACCACGTGTAAATCTATTGTATAAAAAGTAAAACATTTGTAAAGGTAAAGTAAAATCGTAAAGTGAAACCAACTAAAATAAATTAAATTAACAAGGTTCATCAATTTTTTATCAGGTATATTTTAAATTATTAATATTTGTGAATTATTAATATTTGTGAATTTGGTAATATTGTAAAATCGTTATATGAAAGAAAAGTTAGCTTCAATCACTGTGTAATAATTGTAACTATTGTAAATTAACTAATGATATTAATTTTGGATTTAAACAATATATAAATATTAAAATTATTCAACTACATCAATTTTTTCAAACAAACCTATCATTCTCAATAAACTAAAACTCGGAAGTTCCCGGTCTATTAGCCTAACACGCTAGGACCAAATACTTAAACTCATTAAATATTTTAAATGTAAAATTAATTAATTACCCTAAATTAATATTTTTTACATAACACAATTAATTAACTAAATAAAAAAATAATCTTCACTAAATTCAATTAATAACAGTTAATTAAATAATAATAAAAAAAATTAATAGTCGCTCGATTTAATTAATGACAGTTAATTAAATAATTAAACCGGATAAATGATGCGCCGAATTTAATTAATAATAGTTAATTTAAATTTTAAATTTTAGAATAAGCCGCCGAATTTAATTAATAATAGTTAATTTAAATTTTAAATTTTAAAATAAGCCGCTGAATTTAATTAATAATTAAATTGTTTAATAAATCACTTCATTCGCCAGATTTAATTAATTATAAATTATTGAAGATTAAACAAAATAAATCAAAATACATATCGTAGTTGTTATGTCCACCCGCATTTTTTCTTAAAATTTAAATCACCCGCGCAAATGGAAGACTTCTCCATGCGCGAAAGCCACAATAAAATGTAAGCTACGTGACTGCTGGTTGACTAACGGGGACTTCTGCAATCTCAGCACCGCGAGTTTTTAAAAAGGCGATCAACAGCCAAATCCAGGTCTTAGTTGGTTAATTCGACTTCCGCGTTTAACTGACAGGCCCGTTCCTTGTAAAGTCCCTTGTCTTAATTTGCTCTGCACTTAAGACGAGTTCAGACGCGGTTTCAACCGGCAGGCCACGTATTAGTTTTAATATTGTCTACGAGTCGGGATTCTTAAAGTTCTATTTTGCCCTGCACTTAGGCGAGAACTCGATCAGTAGATAAAATCTAGAGAGTCAAATCTCAAAGTCTTAATTTGCCCTGCACTTAGGCGAGATTTTGACCAGTAAGAAAATCTAGAGAACCGGATTCTCAAAGTTCTAATTTGCTCTGCACTTAGGCGAGAGTTCGGTCAATAAGTATAATACCTTTAACTTAATATCTTTTAAAGCTAAAATTGCGCACTTTACCCTACGGGGGACTGGAGGACGTTAGCTCAAATAAATAAAATTCATTAATATTAATTTTAATCTAATAAAATTTGTGAAAGTGTAAAAGTTTTGGTGTTTATTAAATAAATCTAAAAAGGTGAAATCTGTTTCGAATAAGTTCATTTTATCAAATAAGGAGCCCTTAAGATAAGCAGCCCAAATCCATCCACATCCATCCGCTGCAAATACCAACAGAGGGTCCAATCAAGGAAAAAGCATTACGATCAGCCCGGAATCACGGATCCGTTCCTGAGAAATAATCCAGCAAGTAGTAAGTACATCTACTCCTAATTAAAATCCGTGTACAGTCTCAAACGAAGGCGTGGTAAATTCGTACATCGAAAACGTTCCACAAAAATAATTAAACAACGGAATTAAAACCTCCGTTGCGTATTCTTTAAACTGTTAGTCCAAACCTCCACCGTTTACGCTACCGCTCTAAAAACGCCCTTGGACATAACACAGTCTTTGATTAATAATTAATTAATAATAATCAACAAACATAATTAAATCATTAAGCTTCAACGAAAAATTTAATAACTCAATGTTTCGTCACTGAGTCTCACACAGTCTCAAATTTTACGCTAAGTCCCAATCGCTCCGCTGAGACTAGGTAACTTACGTCCGACTGCCTGTCTCGGACGCGGCAGCCGTTTATCGGGTTCCCTCTCCGTAGGCAAACCTTTTACTCAACGTCGGTAAATCGCACGATCCCGAAGATCGATCAATGGGTAATCGAACTCATCGATTACCCCGGGAGTACAAAAAAAACCAAAAGTAATTTTTAACAACCCTAATAATAATAATATTACAACCGTTAACACAAGAACAATGGTGGTACCTAAATACCTCGTGGGATTATTTATGCTGGTTGAATCAACTCAACCTTGAAATTCTTCGGCGATCTGTCACGCCAAGCGACGGCAAATTTAATTAATAATAATTAATTAATTATTAAAACAAAAAAAAACTACTGTACTTAGATAAATCCCACGAGCTAATTGTTTAAAGGAACCTTGGCCACTCACCCTGGTCGAAGACGTTGAAATGAAGGCCTCCCTGGTTGGTCAGTCACCAAGTCGCTCTCGGCTTCCACGTCGGACTTTGTCGGCTAATGGATCCCTCGGCGAGGATACTTGCTGGTGTCTAGCAAATCGGACACGTCGACTAACAATCGCACCAAACACACGTCGTACTTTATGCCGCGTTTGTTAAATAAATAATTCGCAACAGCCAATTATCGTTGCATGCCAATCTTTTTGGTAACCAAAATCGCTATTATAAAAATACTTAGCGCACTACGTCGTAGCTAATTAAACTAATCGTTTGATTTTTAACAGTAAAAAAAATTTCCAAAGAGATAATTTCCGAAATAAAACAAAATACACAGAAAACGTGTCCGCACACGGCGAGTAGAAAACGTGGAAGAAGGAAACATCAGCACATGTCGCATTCCTCGTCTCTCCCCTCTTTGCTGGGTCCGTCGTTATCTGTGAACTCCAGAGATGGCGCCGTAAGTCCAATTTTCCAATATCGACGTTTTGAATGATGTATTGGCTGGAGCATTGGCGCGCTCGACAGCCAGCTTTCCACCTTCACGCATGCGCCGCTTGCTCACTCCGAGTTCCGATCAGTCCGTCGTTTTGCTCGGTCTCGAGACAGCCATCCTCCCGTCGCTGATGATCTTGTAGATAACCCACGTCGATGATCGTCGTTAGCCTACTCTTCACGGGTTTGTGGCCGGTCATATGCACCATTCTTACAATTAAATAACTTAAAACTACTTATTTACTAAATTAAATTATTTAATCTGGCAATAAGTTGTGGTTTCACGCGCAATCGAGCTTCTATCAAATTTCCTCACGCGAGGGCGACTCGGTCGCGGCGAATCCAACCAATGGACATTAAATAAAGATCAAGATAATGTAGAGCAACATTCATTAATTGATACGTCAGAAAATCAAGAACTCATCTCATCTCATAGTTTTCCCAAGTTAAATTGTGAAAATAATACCTTGAAAAAATCAAGTGACAAAAAAACTTGTTCCCAAAGTAAATATTTTCCTAACGGGTTAAGAAATTTTTTAGAAAGTCACCCTTACGGTGCGGTCATTTTAAAAATTTACGATCACACTCAAGAACTAGATTCTAGCTGCTTAACTACTTTGACTGATATAATAATTTTAGAGCTGATTAAAAATAAAAAAATATTAAATAACGATGATTGGAAACAAATAGCACAAGAAACGATAAAAGTTTTTCCATCTGAATGTAAAGATACATTTTATGTTTCTCCAATTAAGTTAAAAGATTCAAAAAAGTCGAAATCAGTAGTCGCAAAAGGTAAATTAGTTGATAAATATCGGAATATGCGAACATTTATAAGAAGAGCTGATAATCTTGAAAAAAATACAGCAGTGCTGAATAAGATTGAAGTCGCTAAAAATAAGAATTTAAGTAGTGCCAATGATAGATAGTCAAAAAATACTCTTACATGAACGTAGGATTGAAGAAGTTTATAAACACTGGGAATTATCCTATAATTTACGTGAAGCTGATTATGTAAACAAAAATTTTCAAGACATTACAGAAATTTTGAAGCTCTGGCCCATCCTAAAAGAGTCTTATGGCTACCAGTTAATTGAAGAAGATTTTAACAGAAAATATTCTGCTGCCAAGGACAAATTACTTGTAGGTTGGAAACAGTTTTATAACAAGATTTCTAAAGTTAGTGATAATAAATCACTTCCTCAGCAGGCAGTAGAGAATAAAAAATTATTAGAAAATCCAGATTTATCTGATGAAACTAAAAGTATCATTGAGTTTCACTACTAACTCATTTTATTTGCCCTAAGGGTAATAAATGTCAGATTAATAAATTAAAAAATCCAAATACAAAAAACTTTTATAAGGCGAATATCGAAGGTGCAGGAAAAAGTCTATTAGTTCACATTGAGGTAAATATTTTATGTCTGTGTGTATTTATAGTTTAATATGGACTTCAAATTTTTTATCTTATATTTAGATTCCTGGAAAGATTAAAGAAGTCATCAGTGAGCTGAAGAGTGACTGGAAAAAAATTGGACTTCCGCTTCAACCATTTGTCATCGTTGTCGGGAAAAATTACTTCGAAATTGTAGAAGTTCTTGTGTGGGTGAATGATGTAATGTATAAGATTTCTACGTTTTTGAAAGCTGTTGATATTCTTATGAAAATTTATATTTCATACAACTTGGTGTACCCACTAGCAGGTGAACATATCTATTATTTAATTCAGTGGGCAGTTTATGAAATTGAGACTAATTTAGATTCTGAAATTCCACACGTACTTACTTTAATCAATAAATTAAAAAAAGTATCTATTGACTTAAATTAAAATTAAAAATAATTTTTAAATTGGAAGAAAAATAACATTACTTTACGGTTATTAACATTACTTAATTTCTTTTTTAAAAGTAAATTTAAATAATAATAGTTAAAAATGCGTTGTAACCTTTGTTCATTAGTTTTACAAAATCTTAATAATTTTATCCATCATTTAAAATCAGCGCATTCAAATGAACCTTTATACGCCTGTATTAATAAACAATGTCATCGTACTTTTTTTCATGTATCTCAATTATATGAACATCTAACATATTGTATTTTACATAATTCTACGAATGAATTGATTAATGTTCCTGATAAAAACTGTAGTAGCGTTGGTAGTTTAAATACAATACAAGAACATCAATCAATAAAAAGAAAACACAATAGTGAAAAAGTAATTAAAATTAACAAAAAAGCGGATGATAATTTTTTTAAAAATAGAGCTACACACTTTATTGGGAAACTTTATAACAGTAAATGTATTACTTGTTCAGCTGTTCAAAATATAATTGCAGATTCCTCTGAACTTTTACAACTAATAACAAGTCATACCGAAGAAAAATTAAAAAATTTTATTCCAATCCAATTTCATTCAAATATTGATAAATGTTTAAATTTCAATGTGTTTGAAGGTTTTGAAACAGAACATAAAAGATTTAAATTTAAAAAAAAAATGACTTGTTAATAAAGCCTGAATCATTTTATCTTGGAGAAATAGATGACGATAGAAATGTTAATGGTAAAATAATTTTAACAAAAAAAAAATGTTACGGTCAAATAATATCGATAAAAGATGTACTTTTTCATTATTTTCAATTGCCTTATGTTTTCGAAAAAATAACGAAATATGTCAAAGTTGAATCATCAAAAACTTCATCACTTTATTCTAGTTTATATCAAGGAAAGGTATGGAAAAATATAATGAAATTATACAAAAATAAAATTGTTATTCCTCTGTACTTATACTACGATGACTTTGAGGTTTGTAACCCACTGTCTACAGCTGCAGGGATTTATAAAATTGGAGGACTGTACTTCTCGATTGCCGCTTTATCACCTGAATTCTCATCTTCTGTTGATAGCATTTTTTTAGCTCAATTATTGTATACTTCGGATTTAAAAACATTTGGAAATGAGAAATGCTTCTCTAATGTTATTGAACAATTGACTGATCTTGCAAACACAGGGGTTTCTATTATTATTGACGGTGACACAAAGCATTTATTTTTTGTGACTGTGGGAATATTAGGTGATAATTTAGGCGTTAATAGTATTTTTGGTTATAATGAAAGTTTTGTAGCGACATATTTTTGTAGATTTTGTCAAGCATCAAAAGCAGAATGTTATCAACAATGTAAAGAGGATGTAAAATTATTACGTAACTGTGAAAACTATGCAGAAGATGTTAAAAATTTATCTCACGGAGTTAAAGAATCTTGTGTTTTTGACAAACTACCATTTTTCCATCATGTTATTAATGCTACGTGTGATGTTATGCATGATTTTTCACTAGGCGTATGTAGGTACGATATGGCAAAAATTATTAAACATTGTATAGATGAGAAATACTTTACCTTACAACAATTAAATGACCGAATAAAATACTTTGATCATTCTGAATTTGATCACGGCAATAAAGTATCAACTATATCAAAAAACCACATTCAAAATGGTTGTATAATAATTACAGCGGCTGAAATGTCTTGCTTAGTAACATATTTTGGAATTATTATTGGCGATTTAGTTCCCTTTGATGATCCAGTATGGGAATTATACTTGTGTTTGTTTGATATTTATGATATTGTTATGAGTTCAACAATTTCCCAAAGTGAAATAATTCATTTGGAGCAACTAATAAAATTGCACAATCAATTATACATTGAATCTTTTTCAGAAAATCTGAAGCCTAAGCATCATTTAATATTACATGTCCCGTCTATAATAAAAAATATGGGACCGGCAAATGAATTTTCATGTTCAAAATATGAATCCTTCCATAAGCTTTCAAAAGCACAGGCTAACATTGTGAATTCGCGTGTTAATATTATTTGTACTGTAGCACTTAAAATCCAACTGCATCTTTGTTATAAATTTATCAGTGAAAGTGGTTTAGAAGATCGCATTGAATATGGTGATGTTAGTGACCTTGACAATTATACAGATAATGCTTTTTCTTTTTGGAAAAGTATTGAAAAACACTTTGTTTCGTGGCTTAAAGTTAATGGAACACTTTATAAGCCTAGCTATTTGATTTACGTAAAAAATGATGATAATAACGACCCAGTATTTGGTTTTATTACTAATATAATTATTTGTAACACGAATTATGTATATATATACTATATAAAGAATGTTTTAACCACGGTTTTTTAAATAATATCAAATGTTATGAAATTTCACTACCTTTCGAAAAGTCTGAACAAATTTTACTGCTTAATAAAAATGTATATAGGCGATGCATTAAATCCTATGTTACCGGCGATGGAAAAACTGTTGTTTCTCGGCGTGATTTATAAAAAATAAATAATAAAAATTAATTTAGTTTACCAATGTATTTATTTGATTTTTATTTTAGTTATTGTATTTTTAGTACCTTCAAATGTGTCTGATACGAGCGACTAATTTTATAAATATTATTTCTTATGGAAATAAATAAAATACACAAATATATATATATATATATATATATATATATATATATATATATATATGT